ACATGCCGTTACTTCTAGGATAGTGAGGGCTACTGGTAGTGATACAAATATCTTTAGATTTATAATACTGAATACATTCATAAGATTTAAATGGATTGTTATCTGCTATAATTTCAGTAGGGTAACCAAACCTTGTAAATACTTCCTGAAAAGCATTTATAACAGACTTTGAACTTTTATTTATTATTGGTATAATTTCCAACCAATGTGATAGATAATCCACAACAACAAGGTAGGATTTCCCTCCATACTCCATAATATCAGAACCTACTTTTGAAAATCTTAATTTAGGTATCTTATGCATTAACAATGGTTCATGAGTATTTGCAGATTTAAATTTCTCACAAGTTCTACATTTAGATATAAAGATTTGAATATCCTGAGACAATTTCGGCCAATAAAATAGCTGTCTAGCTTTTTTAATACTTTTACTTATGCCTGGGTGACCAGAATGAACTAAATTTAATACATATAATTGTAAAGATTTAGGAACAATAATTTTGTTAGTATAGAACACTAAACCTGATTCTACATAGATATCCTCTTTAAATTTAAAATATGGTTTACATTCTTTTAACAATTTATTTTCTTCAGGCCATCCTTGATAATAATATTTTATAATTTCAGATAACACTTTATCTTTGCTAGTCTCAGATCTGAACTCAGACTTTCTTTCACTACTCATAGGCAAATGCAATGAAACTGAATGAACCATGTCTAACATTTCATAGTCCTTCTCTGTTGTTTTCATACTACATCTAGATAACATGTCTGCAAAATGAATGTCTTTACCTGGTATATAATTAAGATTTAATCTATAATTTAATAATTTAAGACACAAACGTCTAAGCCTTGGAGATCCTACTTTAGTAATAGGCTTTTTAATAATTGAAATCAATGGTTTGTGATCTGTTTGTACCTGAATATTTTTAGCACCATATATATATTTATGGAATTTTTGTGTACCAAAATAAATAGCTAATAATTCCTTTTCCGTTTGACTATAGTTTAATTCACAATTGTTCATTGTTCTGGATACACAAGCTACTAATCTTAAACAGTTATTGTTATCTTTTTGAAACAAACAACTACCTATTCCATTCTGAGATGCATCACACTGCATTATAATTTCCTTTTTAGAATCAAAAGCACTCAAAGCTGGAGCCTCTGAAACTTTCTTTTTGAGCTCTGAAAAATTTTTATCATGTATTGGTAACCACTGAAATAAAACATCTTTTTTCAATAATTGACATAATGGAGCCATAAGCTCAGCCATTTCTGGTACATATCTTCTAACATAATTGAATGACCCTATAATTCTTCTTAACTCAGCTATATTTCTAGGAGCTTCTAGACTTAATAAAGATTTGACTCTATCCTTGTCCATTTCCATACCCTTTTCACTGAATATTTGTCCTATATATTTAATTTCTTTTAACTTATATTGCAACTTGTCTTTATTAAATTTAGCTTTTATTTGTTTTGCACGTTTAATAACTTCCCTAACAGTTTTATCATGAGCTTCCTCAGTTTCTCCCATAACTAGTAAGTCATCGAACCATGTTATTACATTAGGTATATCGCCAAAGTAATTTTGAATTTGATCTTGAAATACATCAGGTGAATTTGAAAGACCATACGGTAAAACTAAGTATCTATACACTCCAAAAGGTGTCGCAAAACAACATTTCCATGATGCACTTTCTGTTAGTGTCACATGATGAAATCCTTCCGATAAATCAAAAACTGAAAAATACTTTTTACCTTTTACTTTACATGCTATCTCATCTACAGTTAATAATACTTGGGGTTTTCTAATTATTTTTTTATTTAACTCACTGGGATCTAAACACAATCTTATATTTCCATTAGGTTTTTCTACTAAAACTAGCCTATTTATACATGCTTCTGAACTTATCTCTTCAACTTTAGTGATAGCTTTCCTCTTAACTAACCTATTCAATTCACACTTCAAAGGATTATATAATTTATTTGGTATCTTAGGTGCCGCATGACAAATTTGCTCATGTGGTAATGTAGGAATATCCACTGGTTTAGGAAAATTTCCATGACCTTCAAAAATTTCCATATTTTCTTGTATAAACTTAAATTTCTCATCATTACAATTTAAATTTACTGTATTAATTCTTTTAACTAAATTCAATGCAATACAACCTGGTAATCCTAGTAACATTGATTTACAGTCAACTACCATGAAATCTTCATAACATTCAATTGCTTTATATTTACAGTGTAAATTTACCATACCCACTGGTTTAATTGTGGAGCCTTGAAAGGCCTCTAAACTTTGGTTACATTTCCTAAGTTCAATATTACTTCCTAGTGACTTATATATATTTAATGGCATTATACTCACATCTGCCCCGGTATCTAATCTACAGTTTACATACCTGTTCTCAATTAAAATGTTCTCTGTCCAGTGTGTCTTTTTATTACCTTTTACTTTGTTTCTCGTTATACTGCAACAATACAATTTAGAATTAGAGTCACTGTCAGAATTACAATCTACATTTTGTACCTTTTTCTTCACATTACAACTAACTGCAAAGTGATTCTTTAATCCACATTTATGACATCTCTGCCCAAAGGCTGGACACTCCCTCGGACCGTGGTTTCTCTTACAGCGCCTACAATTAAATTTTTCTATATATTTTGTTTTATTTTCTTGATATGCATGCTGCCTTCCTTTATTTTTCTGTTTCCCATTATATACTTCTTTATTTCCTTGATATACTTCCTTTTCCTTCTGTTTTAAACTATTTCTTTTCTTCACTATATCTATTTCTATATTTGGATTCATCTCTTTTGCCTGCTTTTTACTAATTTCACTTGTACGACAAAAGTTGGTTGCCTTCTCAAGTGTTAAATTGTCTATTCTTAGTAGAGATTCCTGTAAGGACTTGTCGTATATGCCTTGCACTATTTTATCTCTTAATATTTGGTCCTCTAATGATTCTTGTCCTTCTACATTTTTATACGAACAATTAGCAAGCAGCTGTTTTAAATCTGTGAGAAAATTATGAAAACTTTCGCCTTCTTTTTGTTTCCTTTCATTAAATTTATATCTTTCAAATACTTGATTTGCTCTTGGACTTACATAATTATTAATAGCTCTTATAACATTTGCATAGACTTGCGATTCTGTTTCCGTAATCGGCAATGTATGTAGCAATCTTGCAGATTCGATTCCCATCATATTACGCAAAAGTGATAATTTTACTTTGTCCTGCGAGTCATCTTTTCCAATGCTCACTAAATAATCCTCGAATGCCTGTATCCATACCTTCCACTCTGAGGCTGCATTAGGCGATCTTATGTCGAAATTTGGAGGCAATTTAACCGATCCTTCCATGATGGCGTCTGCTTGGCTGAAAAACTTCTTTACGATATTTAATACTTGATACAATATCGTTTACACTTTGAATACGATAATTGCAACTTCAACCATGACTACTACTTCGAATACCGCTACGACTGCGCCATGTTATATTTAAATAAAACTTATTTAATTGCAAACATATTTATTAACATCAAGAGAATGAACAAAGGTGAGAAAGCAACCGGAAGATCCGCTAGTACATACATGTTAACTAATGTCATCTGTCAATTAAGATGCGTTCCTTTATACATATTTAAACTAGGTACGTTCATCTTACAAGAGTATCGATGGTATTTCCTTGTAACCAGTTATTATAAGATAGGGATGCATTAATATACTGTTGTGGCTTTTCATGGTCAAGTATAGTTTGGGTAAAATTGCTTCTAATGGAACCATCGTTAACCCATGCAGAGGAGTACGATTTGCTTTGACGATCTGCTAATAACCAACAGAAGCGGCAATACAGTTTGTTTAAAACATTAAAATAATATAACTATGGTCTTGGAATTTTTATGCCTGCCTTATTAATATATGAATAATAGTAGACTGAAACAAGTTGGTTACTTTCTTAATCTTTTGGAAACTGTCCTTGTGGTTTAAATAGAGCCAATTTAAAAAATATTTTTCGTTTGCATTCAGTTGGACTGTCACCAAAATGTCCTCTATCTGATGAAACTGTATTACAATCTTCAGATATCTCAGAATCATCAATTTGGGTTTTTTCTATTTCCGTATAGACATCTGATGAAGAATATGCTATATAAAAATAAAAGTGAATGTTTTGATTAATTCCAAAAATATATGTTAAATAAATTACTATAGTGTTCAAACGTACGCGGTTTGTGTGCGTGTTAGTACAAAATCACTTGCACACAGCTTATGCGTTACACCCGCGTGCGATCTGAACGTGGCGCGTGGCCATAAAAAACGAACAGAACCCGAGCTCGCGTACGTCTAAACATGCAATTTAGGATACGGACTGATAGACAAACAGACAAAAATTGATCCGAAATTTTGAGACGAAAAAAAACGGAACTCTTACTTACCCGTAGTAAGTAAGAGTTCCGTTTTTTTTTTCGTTTTGAGGTACGGAACTTCAAAAACAAAATTCACCCTTCGCTACAGGTAGATAAGATAAATGGGTTGGGTAGTATTTACCTTTGCAATCTAAATCACTCGCAGGAGCTGATGTTTGAAAAATAAAGAAATTTTGGCCACTTTTTTTTATGACCTCCACCCTTTTGTGTTTACTTTTTCTTTTCGTAGCTCCTCTGGGTTAATCTCTTTTCTTTTCACTTATTGTTTTTTTTTTACAAATCGCTACTAATACTACTAAACCAGAAGAACAATTGTTTGTATTTTATTAAAATGTAATGTACAATTAAATAAAAGCCGTCAATAAACACTGCTCTCCGTCCGTGGTTTATCTTCGTATCGTATGTATATCGATTATTGTGGGATTCCCCCATTGAAGTAAATGACTTAAACGGGGAAATCTACTACTGACGGATTTGACAAATATTATATATAAAGATCCGTCAGTATTCTACGACTATGATGATATGTTCATATTGGTTATAAAACAACAAACAAAAATAGGTAGTATCAAATTATTTATTATAAAAATGACCTTATTTATTAAAATAAATAACATTATAAAATTAATAGTTACTGTTTTGCATTATTTAATGGATTTTATTATATACACCTATTAAACAATAATAAATTAATTTTATAAAACAATACTCGATTTTAATTTCAAATATTTATTAGTATAAGATCATCCTAAAAGAAATCAAACAATTATTACCTGTTTTTCAGTTAATAATACATATACAAAATTAAAGTCTAGTCATAGATAAAATTAACGATTTTAATGGTATTTACTAACTTCCACACTTAAGAAGTAAATACTCTTATCAGATGCTGAGTTGCAGAACTATGTTAAACTTTTTGTCAAAATAGTTTTGAAGAATTTTGATTTTCAAAATTTTTGTCCTTAAAGATTCTTAGTTTTACGTATTGCTAATGATTTTACCTTGTATATTGTTTACAATCATAAATTAATTACTCGTTTTGTTTTAAAATGACTAAATGCTTTTTACAATGGTGATGGAGATGCATATTTAGTTAGCTATAGGTAGATTTTACTTTTATTAAAATATAATATGGTAATGATTAATTGCTCAGTATTTTCTACCAATCGAACTTTATTAAAGCAATTGATTAAAAATACCTAATAATATAAATATTTTATTTTCATATCAAAATTAAGCATAATGTCAGAAAATATCATTGACTTGGCATGTATATAAAGGTTTGATATAATGCCATGCCATGATGCATGTAAGCAGTTTGACCAAAGAACAATGCAAGACTTCTATTACAGTTACTTTAAGGCAATATATATTTATTTGACAATAGTAGACTAGTGTTATGTGGAATGGTTTTCCAAATTAGTTAACATACCACTTGTAATACATATATAGTATTTCTTAATTAAAGATTAAAGTAACTCTTACACTTTTATTCATAAAGACGTCAAACCTCTCATAAACCTATTTTAGCTATTGAATTGTTTTGTCTCTTTCTTTTGTATTAAATTCTCCGTTTGAATGAAAGTAACAAAACAGTGTAATAATTAATTTAGGCTTGTAAGTGAAAGAAAGAATGAAAACTCTTTATTGTTGCTTTCAAAGTAGAAGTTTTAGTTTTTAACGAATACGGATAATAGACGATAAAGTAATTCAGCTCTCAGGTATTAGTAGTATTAGGTGTATTCAGTATAAATGAGCCCTGCATGCAAGTTCATGAAACATTTATTATCTTATACAATAACTGTTCTATTCACGAAACTATGTAAATATAAATGCACGCAAATATCACAACTAATGAGTACGTATTGTGTTGCATTCTTTGCAAAATATTTTTATCATCTAATACCTACTAAAAAGTGAGATCGAAATTAAGTGAATAATAATGTTTTAAATTTTAGTATACAATTGTAAAACGCAAGGCGATGTGCATGAACACTTTTATAACTCAATTAGGTCATATTTTATCTGATGATGTCAAAAGGTTTAATCTCAATATGGTCTAAAATTGTTTTAAATAAATTTTAATAAATGTCACTTTCAACATCTTATTTATAAATAAATTAAATAATTCCAATGGTACTAGAATAATAATAGTAATAATAAATGCCATAAAATGGAATCATGTTAGGGTACCTTGTTTTATGAGAAACCAAACAATAATCATCTGGGGACGACTCAGAACATCCGGTTTCTGAGCCAATCTGGAAACGTTAGTTTTCTGAATTGACCTGTTAGAGGATTCAAAGTGAGGGTCTAATTTGTGTAAAGCCACGTACCGTAACCAATTTTATTAAAACATTGCTATGAACTTTTTGGAACTAACTCGGGTTTGGGTGTTGTGCGTTGTGCCATCAGATGTTGTCTGGAGGATAATAACATGGTGTCCTAGCTTGAAAAACGGGTGATTCTGTGGTATTTGTTATTATTATTGTGAAATCTGTTTTATAGTATTATTTCATGTTTGCACTTCCCTTCTCTGTGCACATTACTTCCACTCAATGTGAAATAGAGCATTTGGGGCTAGACTACAATTGTATTCTATATTAAATGGCAGTACTTCAACGTATAGATTAAAAGAAGTATAGAAACCAATGATATTATTATTATAATGTAGGTAAAGTAAGTGTAGCGTATAGCGTGTAGCGCTAATTAGAACCACCGCCCATTAATCACTTTCAAATAACGTTACGTAAATGCTTTCAGTTGTTGAAAATCGCGCTTAAATTCACTTTATAGCTTCAAAAGGCCGTGGTTTTAAAGCGTAAATTCACTAATGATACAAAAAGAGGAAACAGTCCATGATGTCTCATATTACAAATATATAGGCTGAAATTATTAATTTTATCTGTTTTAATCCATTTCTAACAAATATTAACAATTTAAAATAGTAACGTCATAAAAAATGACAGTCGTAGCGCTTTCATAACGCTAAGGACAGATAATACAGCGTCGATAACAGCGGTGCAAATGACAGACACTAGCCATTTTATTTACTCTTACTGTTTCAATCACTATTTAAATAATTTAGTAATGTAGAAAAATGCAAGTGAATGAAATAAACGCTTGCCTATGTGTGCTCTAACCGGAACATTTTTCCGTTTAAAAAAAATTCATTAACAGGTGTTAATTATTTGATTATAGTAAAATTATAGAGCTGCAATCTTCATAATTATTGTAAGTCAAAATTACATGCATTAAAATACACGTATTATTAGTACACACGAAATAAATAAGTAATTAATTTAATATCTTTAGACAGAAATTAAAATAGCTATAATACAATATTATACAAATCATAATTATATTTAATCATAATTTAATGCATTATTTATGATAAGCTTTAGTCAATCAGTCGTCAGTATTTAGCATTCACTGTCTCATTAGATAACAGCTAAATAAAAGTTAAACAATTTCATACCTAATTGCCTTAATTATCTACTCTGTTATTTAAACAATATGTAACGATATTGTGTATTATACAGTACAAAACATACCTATATCTTGTACAGGTCCGTATCATATACACTGTTTGTGTTATGGACAAAATTGTTCTAGATGGAAACAGTTTGTGGTCTTGATTCTACAAATATATATCCTACTACCCTACTAAAATACATTAAAAATTCATAAAAATTGGTCAAGTCGCTTCAGAGGAGTGCGACCACAAACACTGTGACACGTTACGTATTTTATATATAGTGAAACAGACTATAAAAATGATGTAGTCTATAGGATACAGGTATTATACATTGCATGTTCATATATTATTAATAAATTATTAGATAGCCGTGTGGTCCTGGCATGGAATGGGCCATCACTTTCTTTTCTGTAGGTGTCGTAAGAGGTGACTAAGGAAACTAAGTGGTCGAAGGATGGACAGCAGCGTCCCTCTTAAAACATCACCAAAGCCTAATTGCGGTTGCCAACCCGTCTGCCAAGCGTTGCAACTTACTAGCAAACCCCCCCTTATGGAGTAGGCTTATGTTTAGCAGTCAACAGTAAACAGCTGATGTGATGATGATAATTATTAGGACTAACTATCTATATTGACGAGATGAGTTTGCAAGGCGGTAGACTGGTGGTAGCGACGGCGCGATGCGAAGTCCTCGTTATCGTCGTTGAGTCGTTCTTGCTCCAGAGAGATGTTTGCATGTACGGGTGTCACCACAAGTTGCTCGTATTCTAGAGGCCGCTTTCTGTAGAATAACATAGATGGTGGTATGAACATAGTGGTTTTATGAACACAGGATTTTTCATTATTGAATTTTAGAGTTTGTATAGTATTAACAGCTTGTGGAACATAAAAAAAAAACAGCAAAACAATTTATACAAGAATTTCTCACACTGTGTCTCGAAGAATCTATTAACATAATAGTGTGTTTTAAAAGTATGGTATGTCTACACTTTATTAAAATAGCTTATGATAGGAAACTTATTTCAATTGGAAAAATAGAATATGTAATAACAAAAATAAAAAAAAAAAAATGGTAATACATATATTGATAAATGTATCTTGGATAAGGTGAGATATTTTAGATAGCATACCCAATGGCCTGTAAAAATGATATTCGCAGCCAGTAGAAGAAGCGAAATTCTGATGCTCGACCAGGTTTCACGGCAGGGTTTGCTGCTCCGATATATAACCATAGTAACCACAGAATAGACAGGCAACCAAGGGCGTACGCCCAATGCACTAAGAACATTAAGAGAACTTTTATGGCAACCTGAAAATACACAAATTAATATTAAATAATTCTGTTTATATTAATTATGAAGTGATGGTATGACCATCCAGACGTACTTAAGAGACTCGTTTAAGGTAGCGCTGTAATGGAAGTTTAAAAAGAGATAGGTGAGACTTTTGCCCAACAGTGGGACATTATAGGTTGATAATAGAATAGGAGTAATTCCATATTTTTTTTTTATTTTAAACCTTTTTAGTTTTGGGTCTTTTGAGAAGATGTAGATTTTAAAATTTCAAGATCGCAGTGACTCGTTTCCATAATGTATTAATTTTTTTAAGTATTATAAATTAATTTTAAGGACACAGCATCAGTACATATGGACATTCCGCCACATTGTTAATTAATTTAAAAAGGATGGAGTGATATTTTTAAGCGCCTGTGCTAGCGGTATACACTGGCGAGATACTAATGAATGATGACGAGCGAGGATAAAGTTAGGTCAGTTGCTTCATCGTAACACATTCTCTAGGAATTAATTACACTGGTTTCCATGGGGAACTATGTGGTAGGTCAATTATCTTCTTCCCCCCCCCCCACCCCTAGGAGGGAGTAAATAAAACAATAAGATATAAATAAGATATAATTATTATAAATTGAAACAATAAAATTTTATGGTTGTGTTTGTGATTTGCAAGAAAATGAAAATGTTATAGTGGTGCTAACTATCGTCATCTCCAGGTTTCATTATTGTCGCACTTGTAGCGGATCAATTTTTTTATTTCATAATGACATTATTGAGTAAAGTTAGAATTCCTCCGGATTAAAGCATTGTCAATGAACAAATCTTATAGCAAAAAAAGACAATGACTCGTATAAAACTTACCCCAACTAAAGATAGCCACCTATTACATAGGTGCGAATACCAATTCGTGTTTTTCGAATGAACACTGACGCTAGGTCGACGAGCGTCTCCGTTTGACACTCGCCCATTCATTATTGCCGAGTCAGTTGGAGATGGTGTGAAGTCCTTAAAAAAGAAAACAAAAAGATTTGTAATTTAAATCTAAGTTAAAATATGTAGAATTTTTCAATTACATGATTTTATAAAACAATAATAATAATAAGAACTTACGCCAACATTTTTATGTCTAATCCTTTCGGGGAATAATAGGTCTAGATCACTGCCAGTAGCACCATAGACGTGAGTATCACGCTGCATTTGACCTTGGAATCTGAAAATGAGATTAGAACAAGATTTTAGGTGTGTAGGTAAATAATAGAGGTCATAACATATATTAAATGTTTTACTAAAATGTGACAGCAAACAAATATTCTTCTTTTTTACTTAAAAAGGCTTTCATTAATTAATGTCGATAATTTCTATAATTTTTTTTATTCATATTACATAATACAATATGTATTGCCGCTGTCTTAATATTCTTAGGATTCATGTATATTAATTTAATAACTATAATATATTTAATTACTTGTAACACTAACAATGACTGTTACTTTGTTTAGTTCAATTAAGTTCATTGTATATTCGGCTCATACAATTCATCTATAGATAATAATATTTTTGGAGTTAAAATAGTCTGTACAGATTGATAGAAAAAAATTGCTCTAATACTAGACTTGTGTTAGGACCGAAATATAAAACAATTTTTTTTCTAAATGAGAAGCAAATTATCTAAAATAATAAATACTACAGTTTTAATTATAAATCAATTAAAAAGATGATAAATGTTAATGTGATACAATGAGAAAAAAAATCATACCTCATTTCACGTTTGTGTTGCAAATCAAAAGTTTGGGCGAGAGCAAAGTAAGAATAATCTATGCTAGCGTAGGTGATAAGAAAAGGCATGGTGACGATGGGTGCGAGCTTGTTTATATCACCAATAATGATGAAGGTGACCGTAACTATTGCTACTACCACCATTGAATAGATTGGCACCTTGTTGGGCCCTCTCTGTGGAATAATATAGTCTTATAAAAAAAAATTAAATGTATAATAAAGCAAATTTGGTATTACTACCTACTGCAGGATGCTAGTTTTCTTAGTAGTCACATGCCGAGTCTAAGAACTCGAGACATCACGATTATAACAACTTAGACAAGTACTCAAGTAGTTGTACATTTATTCAAGTATTTTATTAGACTTAAATGCTTTTTTAATTGATTTTTGAAATTTAGTTTTACAAAAATATTAAATGTTTTTAATTTAATATTTTTTACGTCAGTAATTAAAGAAAATATTCATAAAATGCTGAAACAGAAACAGAAAAACTCGAAAACACATGAATAATATTCAAGTATGGTAATTACTCGAAACCTGTATCTGTATACGTGTATTAGAGTACTATATATTGAGTACTCGAGTATTTAAGTTTATATTAGGTACTTGAGTCAGCCTATCTCGGCACATCACTACTCTTCAGTTTCCGCCCATAGAAGGAGAATAGTTAGCTAAGTATTACTACACTAACCAGGTAGGTTGGTTATACCAAGTCGTTTCAAGTTTTCCTTTCACTAGAGCAGGAGTTCCTAAACTTAAGATAACGGAATGCTCACCAAATACCTTTTATTTTATGGAACCCCATATCAAATAATTACAAATAAAAAATATTGTAATTTAAATAAGAACAAAAGCTTTTATTAGAAATATTTTAAAAGTATATAGTTTATAGCTTTCGTTAAGTTTTAACGTGAAGAATGAAATTGTTTCACTGTATAAATAATTTTGCGGAATCCTGGTGACTATTTTACGGAACCCCTAGGTTACGCGGAATCTACTTTAGAAATCGTGGCACTAGAGTATTGTGTTTTATTCTCATAGCCCCCTCGTACATACTGAATTATATATTACAATTGGTTACGAACTCAAATTTCACAATATTACAGTAATATATTATTTGAGATCATATTACAATAATTATAGTTTTATTTAATAGAAAATTTCATCTGAAATGGGAATAAAAATTAGTAGAAGTTTCTTTTATTTAGTAACCAATCTTGGCATAAATTTTTTTAGCATAATAATAACAATGTATAAAAAATTTTTGTAATGAATAGATTTTTTTTTGTGTCCATTCATCATTTCAGCCATTAACTGTCCATTGCTGAACACAGGCAGAGGCCTATTGGGGGGTGTTGCCACGCTTGGCATACGTATTGACAATCGCAGGCTTCGGTGATGTTTCAAGAGTGACGCTGTTGCCCATTCCTTGACCATTAAGTACCCTTTGTCGCCTCTTACGACGCCCACGGGAATGTAAAGGGTGACCCATTTTATACCGAAACCACACGGAGTATACAGCGTTTTGATTGATTAGGTACTATTAATAGATATTTTTATATCTATTTAATTCTAAACAATTCATTCGCATATCAAGATACTTTAGTTAATACAAGTTAGTAAGGCTTATACAAAATTTGTTGTAATAATTATATAAATTTATGATATTTACCCCATAACCAAGATTTTCAAGTCCAGGTATCACTTTTTCATTGGCAATGCTCTGCAGAACACGTGGTGTCCCATACATAGCCCCCAGACACGAACTCATGGAGCTTACGTACAATCCCGCAAGTAGTAATACTTTCAACGCAGATATGTCAGCCGTAATAGAGAAGTTTTTCAATAATCCTTCTCGGGTGACTGTTGCTGCTAATGTTATTATAAACATTAGATATAGAAAAGTCCTGAAATAATTATATGTTATAAGTATAAGGGTAATTGCTTTCCACTTCACACAGGCTGATTAGATAAGATTTTAGTGGGGTAAGTGTTAATTAAGTAAGTTAATTTATTTTATACTAAATGAATATGAAACCTTTATTGTATAATAAAGATTTAAAAACACAGCAGGCATAATTAAAAACTTTCTACTGGGTTCAATATTAAGCCTAGCATTACAGATTACATTAAATTTAATAACAAATTTAAAGAAAGAAATTATAACAATCACTAAATAATTGTACACATTTCTATTCCAATTTATATAAATGTTATTTGACAAAAATGTGGAGTATAACTATAAGAAAACGATATTGATAACATGGCCATATATATATTGTTCATATCACTAATTTTACACGTTTATGATTTGCTTAAAGGAAATATAGGTAGATTAGTTCATTACCCAGTGCTGATTGCTGCCAATGAGCCATTTGGTATGTTGATAGAAGGGTTCTTTAGATCGCCACTCATATTGATACCTGCTAATATTCCAGTTATAGTAGGGAAGAATACCCCAAAACATTTGAACCATGTGTAGTTATCCTGATAATTTGACCATGTGTTATTGGCCATAGTTCCACTGAGCCAACCTTTGAATTCCTCACCTGAAAGTAATTTTATTATTAACAAAAAATAGAAAACATGACACCTTGAAAATAGATTATGTGTATGCCATAAAAAGTTTAGAACATTTTGGTTTGTAAGGTAAGACAGAGTACAAACTCTGACATAAGACATAAAAATATGTGGATGCATTATAAAACATTCTATGTTGTATGTATATATATATAATGGGAATATAAATATATAGACATTGCTAAAAAATAAATGAAAGTTAAAAATAATATTATGATGTTAAGTATGAATGTCTCTATCTATGGTAGTACTACAAGATTAAAAAAAACTTGTTCTGTTTGAATTCTAGTTTTATCTTGTCATATTTTTACATATTTGTAAGAGAAGTACAAGTTAATGAATAACACTTAATGTTTTATTTTGTATAGATAGAAAAGTCATAACTATGATGGTAGCACTATTTTATTATTTTATTACACTTACCAGGTAATGTAGTGAATGACCCCACAAAAAAGTCAAGGGCAGCTAATAGTATTATAAGAAGAAGTACAAATTGTAGCTTTATCACCCATTTGACACCAGCTACATTAATAGTGCCAAGTAAAAGAACAGCTGCTACAGCAAAACCACGGGCTGCCCAAGTATTGTCAGTTCCCACAAGGCTTGCCATAGATTCACCAAATCCAAATACATTTAACGCACAACCAACAGCCTGTAATGTATTATATATATATATATATATATATATATATATATATATATATATATATATATATATATATATATATATATATATATATATATATATAGAACTCCACATAATGTAATAGTATGAGTGCAATACAAATAAAAATAATAACCTGTCCAAAACAATAAATCATTCCCAATGCTCCACCCATTCTTGATCCTAATGTATGTGCGAGTAAAAAATATACTCCTCCACTTTCTATTCTGCATCTTTCACATATACCTACTGCTGATAATACTGAGATAAGTGCTACGAAAACTGGAAAGATAAATATATTGTCAATATATATATATTATTTTTAATTAAAACATTTGTATCAATAATACAGTATATAATAAATGGATATATAAACAAGATAAATGTAAATTTTTCTTACAAAAGTTTTGATAAGATTACCATAAAGTTTCATTATTGATAAGTAGTTTTTTATATTTAATTTAGAATCTATGTATTTTGTCTGTTAGTTGCAAATAAGTAATACAAACAAGCAAAACTTATTTCTAAGCAAATAAAAAAAGTTTATGTTTTAAGAAAGAAGAAAATTGTATTTGAAAGTATACCTGTAAAAATTACTATAAAAATAGCATTAACCAGACCAGCTTGTCCCACAATCCATCCCGATCGAAGAAATACAATAACACCAAATATATTAATCAGACATGATGTAAATACTCCATCCCAAGTGCCAAATAGAACAGGTTGGGATATAAAAAAGTTAGATTTCCACCATGGGATATCACCCTGAAAGTTATAAATAAATGTAAATTGCCTTGTTTAAACTTAGAAACTAGTTTAGCAATGCATTAAGTTGGAGTTTTTAATCAAGAGTTTAAATTAAATGTCTAGATAAAACACTAGAAATGGAGGCTCTAATAACAATTCTAATTTTTAATAATTTTAAACTGTACTTTATCCGTTGCAATATGATTTTAGTTACGTATTGGAGTCACTATATTTCTAGAGACTTTTGTATACCATTAATATTTAGTTATATGATGTCATTGGTTGTTTGTGAGGTGCTATTAAGTAGTACTATATTCAAGTTATTTTATTTCTTTATCTAGTTGGTATTGTTGATCAAAGGCTGACGTATTATTTACACATATATATTAATATTGAGGATAAAAAAAGGTTTTACCTGTATATCGGCAAAAATTTCATTTGCTCCAGAAGCTTGATGTCCACCAGTACCATATTGTGATTCATTCCCTAAGTCCACGAAGCCACCTGATTGTCTTCTCATTCGTGCCCTATCAAAACCTGGTTCATCATTCCGAAAACTATCTATATCTAAATCATTTCTCCTGATACGATTACTTTGATCCATTTTCTTTCTTTAGAAAAGCAATTAGTAATTAATAAAGTAGTACATAATCGATATAAGAAATTGTTTAATTATCACAGAATAGAGGCAATAATCACTAAGTTAGAAGATTAACAATAGCCTTACAATCACGAAACCTGAAAATTGAATGCATGATACCATTTCAAATCAACAATACAATGAAAGAAATTACTGTTCATATTGTTGTACAATTATCTATATATGCCTCTATCCAAAATATCGATATCGATGGTTGTTGTAAAAGACCTAGCTATTTCAAATTTTATGAAAAGTATCTATAATAAAATAATTATTTTTGTTTAGTATAATTTATTTTGCTTTAATTTTAATTCTTATTTTTTAACTGATGTGTAATGCAAATTCTTCCTGGAACATTAAACAATAATGCTGTTTATCGCGATGCAATACTTATATTGCATCGCGATAAACAGCATTTGAAAAACAAAACGTATTATCATTTAATAAATATTTATATAATATGCAAACAAATGTAAAGAATAGCCGTATTTGCATAATACTATTAGAAATCATCCCAACTACATATTTATAATATTTTTTTTTAAAGGCAACGAGAAATTGCATATAAATAAAATATTATTAACTAATTAATCATATGTAATTTTAAGTATTATTTATCTTCTTAATATATTATTAATTGTAATTTAATTTCAATTTACATCAATAAATAGTAGAGCCATGGTAAGAACAAAACTAATATATTTTGGTTAATTTTAGAAGTCTATTGAAATTGATAATTTAGGTTAGAAAAACGGCTTCGCTACAACATATATATGAGTAAATTAATTAATTACGCCTTACATGCATACTTTATGTATATTTAACTATACTTTTTTTTTCGATCTGTAATTGCTGTTGGCCGCAGATGGCCTTTACTATTCCATTATCATACATTAAAAAAAAAACTATGCACTAAGTGTCGCTTGGTCTTTTACTTAAGTCACAATTAACATAAATTTATTTATATTTTTATATCATCATCATATTTTTGTATATTACTACGTAAAATATTAAAACACAAATTTAAGTTATTTTTATATATTTTATGGCTAATGTGACATTACGACTAATAGGTATGAGCCAATAACTAAGCAAAAATCTCAAGTCAGTGGGTGTCTACTGGTGGATAGCGTTGCCTAAGCCGGTCTAAGAAGTGACAGCGCGATGATAAAATGCATTTAAAAGAGACTGGTTTGAGGTGGCGCAGAACAGAAGTTTTTGAAGGAGATGGGTTAATAACAGTTTTCTTTTTATAAAAAATTTAAGTAAAGTGTTATTTTTGAAATGGCGTCATAACTCCAATTATCAATGCGCCTATTCAAGATGGTTATGATCTACCATGATGGGACAAAGTTTTTTAATATTGGTTAAGAGAGAGAGAGAGAGGTGACATAGATTCATACAAAAGAAAATATTTTTAGTGATACAGGCTTGTATAATGTAGGTGAACACAGTCTAATATACAAAATAGTTTAAGAGTTAGCACTGTTTTTATATTGATGAAATTGAAAAAAGAATCTATGCAAGCAATTGAAGTATTAACACAAAAAATATATAAAAAATTGTAGAGTTGTATGACTATTTATATATATATTTATAGGTCTTTGCCTAAAGTATCGATATCAATAGGTACTATAATATTTACAACTTTTTTATAGGGTTAATTTATGAGTTTAATTAACTGGTTGCATTGATTTGTACAAAAATTTTTATTAGAAGTGATGTAGACTAGAGACAAATAACCAGCTTCACAGAGTACTTAACAAGGCAGAGTATTCAGATAATGAGTCTAAGATTAAACGTGTTTTTTCATACTTGGACTAGAGTAGATACAGCAAAGTAGGAGTATTTTAGCTGCAAATATTATAAATAATATAAATAAAATAATAATAGTACGCGAATATGTCTTGCATTAGAATATTAGAATTATTCAAATGATATTTTAGAATTAATATTCGAATAGTAAATCAGTGCTATTTGAATATATTCAAATAATTTTATATCCCTATTTTTTATTAACAAATCAAAGAAAGTACACTTAGTAAAATTAATTTGAACTGAACGATTTATTCTTTACAACATTATCAAAGTAACAAACCTAAATAGTCAAATAGAGGCTTTTTATTTTAGAGGCCTATTATTTCTCTAAAGACTGAAATAAACCATATTATTTCAGTCTTTAGAGAAATAATAGGAGACTTACTTAGAGTATAAGTTATTACATTACCTTTTGCTTGATGATATTTTTCCTAGGATTAAATTTCCTCTCCAATTCTAATTGGTTTGGTTGTTGCCTCTTCGCAATTCGGTAAGAAGAGAGATCTGACTAACGATAAAGATTGCAGGGCAAATATGTAGGTTTCATCACAGTCTCAGACTATCGTTCATAGGTACAAGCAGACGAACGTGCCTTCCAGAAATTATTTTTATGCTTTAAACAGGGCCGTGCCTGACGGGCGTTCATTGCGTGCACCGCACGCAGGCGGCCGAAATTAAGAGGCGGCCAAATCGTTACAAGTTGTTTACTGGGCCGATTTCGGTTAACCAAAAACTGATTTTTTCCCGGTTTGATGCCCTGTGTATAATAATAAACATTAAAAATTAAAGTAGTTTTTTTTAATGTTATCCTGGGGGCGGCCATACAGACTGGCACGCAGGCGGCCATATACCCAGGCACGGCCCTGGCTTTAAATGCTAGTTGATATTTTAAATTGCAACTGCTATATCATGAGCAAAAATATTAACAGCCTTGCAAACTGGTCTCATAATTTGTTAAGACTGTATCGAACACTATATTAAAAAGGGGAGGGAGCCAAACTTCGGTTGGTGTCGCCACGGTGGTCCTAACTAGAAAATAAAGTTATGATACACATTAGGTATATCTTTGATATACCGAAAGTGCACATCTTTGAATTGTAATCCCTATGAAATGATTTGACGATACAAGCAAATATCCTTTCAATAAGTGTGAAAGAACATGCACCTACAAAGATATTCTTCACTACGTGTTTTTCAAAGCGAATTTGAGCAAGTTTGGTTTTTGGTGAATTTTTCATGATAAAATAGATATCAGTTAAGTCTAAGAAGGCGCCTCGGCAAAATGAATTTTTAAGTCTAGAGTCTTTTCCTTCATAAATAACCTGAAATCGTGGTAGCGTAGGTTTTATTTTATAGCGTTGATTCTTAACACATGGATATTTTGTTATGCCTAATGTAATTATTCCACCACTTTATCTCTAATAGAGGCTCATTTTCCATAGTTTTCACCATATTGGCGGGTTGGCAGCCGCAGTTAGATTTTGGTAATGTTTTAAGTCGGATACTGCTAGCCATCCCTTGACCATTTAGTTCTCTTAGTCGCTTCTTACGACGGAAGGAACGGACACAATATAACCAGTTATTTTCAGATGTTCATAGTATTTCACAGCTGCACCAAATCCGTTTCAAATAGCCTAAAATCCCGTGGCTGACTTGGTCAGTATATTAAAAAAAATCTTTTTTTGTTAAACTTGGTTAAATGAAAAGCGAGTGAAAATATAATGTTCTAGGTTGTCTGTCAGTTAGTAGCAACCTAGAGTTGCTAGATGGTAATCCTTTCTAGCAACCATTTTTATATGCAACCTTTTGCTGCCGTAAAAAAGATTAAGAAGATTAGTGTAGTTAGTTTTTTTTTAATGGGTGATAATGGTATGGTAACCCCGTCTGCGCTATTAGTATACAATGGCGGGGCACCAGTGATAGATGACTAATGAGGAAAGCAGGCCATTTAGCTTATCCTGACGAATTCTACTAGAATTAGCCACAATGGTTTCCAGGAGGAACCATGCGTGAAGGTCGACCTGATATATATATGTAAGTAGTAAGCTTAGTAATGGGGCTATTTGACCCCCATTACTAACAATCCCTTTCCCCCCAGTGTAGTTAGGTAAGATTAGGGTAACTACACTCATCTTTTTTAAATAAATTTGCACCCTGATTACGCTTTGCATATTTGTGATTGTCGAAAATAGCAATATATTTGCTATTAAACATTTTTAACATGTTTTGTATTACCTAAGTAGATATCTATTAAGCGATTTATGAGTGAAAGTTAGTACTGTCCCTTCAGAATGATTTCTTATGAACTAGCTTCTAGATTTATATTTCGGAATTAATTTAAATCAATGAAATACACTTCTAGTTATTTATATCTACAAGGATAACAAATACCATATTTTTAAATCGACCTTTACGACCACCAACTATGAAAACCGCATCTAATTTGTGCAGTAGTTTTTGTGTATGTTGGAACAAACGTATATTTAGACAAACAAAAATTCAAGTAATATTGTTGTAGCTTCTATCTCTTTTATTAAGATCAATATTTCATCATGATAAGTTAAGGTATCGATGTCAGTTGCCTTAAGCTGTTGCATCTAGTCATTTCTGTTTGGAAGACATTCGAGATCAGAAAAAGCGTGAAGAAACGGTCCAGTAGAAACGCAAAGACATTGCGTTTTTCTGTCACACTTGCCTAAGTACGAATATTATGGTTCCTTACGGGGTCGCTTTTTATATACTTTTGTATTGATACATGCGATATATGCATAATACAATAAATAAAAAAAATCTAAGGATTTTTATTTGTAGTAGGTATTAGTGTGGGTACACTGATATCACAGCTTAAATTTCATGCACATAAAATTCATTCATCGACATAAAATTAGGTGCGCTATGTATATTTAATAACATTGCTATATATTACATAATAATATGATAATTTTGATCTGATGTTGTTAATAGGACGATCTATAAACGTTAGTTTTGAAGAGATGAGAAGTTGGCCTTAAGGATGATGACTAGACCCTATTGTAAACAGTAGTGTATTCAGAGAAACTCTGTTAATGCTACGAGTACAACACAGTTTGGATATTTTGGGATAAGACTTAATAAGGAGTTAGTAGCCATTTGGTTACTATTTGGAGATAGGTTTACAGAAATTTTATTGTGGGGAGTGCTCTGAGGAATTGATTGGATTGCTACCTGCTGCTGATTTTCACCATCGTACAATCAGCCTTAAACTAAAATTTCATCCCAACCGTCTGGACGAGTGGCGGTCTTTCACCGTGCGTTTTTCAAGGCACTTTCTTCCACGCACAACCACTCTTTGGAATCAACTTCCAATTCAGCATCAGTATTTCCGAATCGTTATGACAATATAACCTTCAAGAAAAGAGCATATTCCTTTTTAAAAGGCTGGCAGCACACCTGTGATGCCGTTGGTGTTGTGGGTGATCATGGACGGCGGTAGTCACTTACCATCAGGTGAGCCGCATGCTTGTTTGTCCCCTGTGTTGTAAAAAAAAATGGCGCTTCAGAATCGATCCCAAAATCTATAATATGCCTTCATATATATTTTATAATCGATTTTATAAAACTTAAATTAAAAAAAAAGTTCATCTAGGTTAGACCAAAATTATGTTTATCCAAATTCACCAAATATTTTTTTAACTCGTTTATTAATTATTTGGTGGATAATCTATATTAGATTTGAGTATGAAGTAATTATATATTGGGATTATAAAGATTTAGCAACACATAAAATCTTTTCTCCTACATTCTTCACGACTTTGGAACGCGCTTCCTGATGCCATTAAGAGACTACCGACTAAACAGTCTTTCAAAAAAAGCGTTCACGCTCACTTTTTATCTTTATCCGAGTAGTAAGTGCTTTATATTATTCTCAATTTCGTGTATAAGATATATAGTATATATTGTAAAATTGTATTGTAAAAATCTTTATTGTACATAAGTCAGATTAAATACTAGTAAATGATTTAGTATACAATGGCGGACTTATCCCATAAAGGGATCTCTTACAGTCAACCTTTGAGAAGCTGAAAGAAAACTGTAGAATGTATAAGGGTAATAACCGTACAATTAAAGATAAACTAAATAATACCCAGTAAAAAAAAAATTTGAATATATAACACAATAAAAACAGCTCTATATACCTACATATGTAAATAATAAAAGTAAATTAATAATAATATAACATTAATAAATAAAAACTTATACACATACACATACATATATACACATATACACACATACATATACATATATATATATACATATATATACATACATACACATATATACATACATACACATACATATATACACTCCTACATACACATACATGTATACATAATAAATACATATATTCACAATTGGCTCAATGAAGAGGGATTTTCAAAATAAAATTTTATGATACCTGCTTTAAAAGATTTCAGCGACTGTGCCATCTTTAAGTTATATATCATATATGTGTAAGTATATTTATTATTCATATATATTTATTCGTTTCTATATGTAATTTTATATATGGATAAAACGATAATACACCGACCCCAAGTAATAATTGGGATAAGGGTAGGAAGATGATAATGATATATGTAATTTTAGTATGTATGTATATCAATAATTAGTAGTACCGCATTCGAGTATTCTGACACTTCCCTATGGTTGACTGGGAGAGAATGCTTTTAGCATTAAGTCCGCCATGTACACATATTTGTACTAATGAATAAATAAATAAATAAAAGTTTAATTACAAGCAAAACACCGATAATAAGTACAAAAAAAAATTGTGCCATAGCACTGCAAAATGGCTTATAGCTCAAATGTGAAATATTACTCAGGGAACAAAACACTCATTTTTAGCTATGACTGCGAGACTAAGGCCGAAATTCAAACAAGAAAAAAGTTGTTAAAAAAGTTATATAATACTAGTTTTTAATGATAGTAAGGTAATAGTTTATTATTTATTTTACAGATATTCCAAATTTTAACAAATATTTCTTTATTTACAGTCATAATTACTTCTCTAACCCCTTCGTTGTTTCGTCCTATCGCTTTGTTTAATGATTAATAACAAACCGTTGTTTTTTCTAATTAATAATAGTTAATAAACCAGTTTCCAAAATTTCAGACTCAACAAAAATAATACCTCTCCACTTGGATTCCTAAATAAAACTTTTAATCATGATTAACATATAGAGTGGGTAGGGAAAGCCCAATTATAACACTTTATAGAGCTGCGGTTGAGGTTATTATTTTCATCATTGTGTATTTAGGCTCAAGATAAAAATAATAATGATAATAAATTACTATGTATTAAAAAATTTCCTTAATTTATCATGGCCTGTTATTCTGGTTGCGAAAGTCCATAATTCAATTTTTAGTAACAGTCAGCTGCGCGAAAAGAGGACAGTGTTTTATCTATATAACCACAGAATAAATACAGTATGGTTGGTATAGCTGTATGTAGTATCGCAACGCTGAAAAGGACGAATAAAGAGACGAATTTCATACGGATACCGGTACCGGTTTTAATGCAGATATTTCTATTTTTTTTTAATGGGTGAAGACGGAATTGTAACCCCGCCTGTTCTATCGGTATACGCTGGCGGCGCACCAGTGATAAATGATAGGTGAGGATGAAGGCAGGTCAGTTGGCTCATAGTAACCAATTGTACAAGAATTACCCACTATGGTTTCCAGGGAGAACCGCGTAGAAGTCGACCTGATAGGGTGTATTGCTAGAAGTGGGGCTGTTAAATCTCATTACTAATAATCACTTTCCCCCTTGATAAACAACTTGCGATGAATCTTATGCTATGTGAAATTATGCTTGGTAGAAATTAGATCGCCTTCTATTCTTTTAGGATCAAAGATATCTGGTTAAAATTAAATAATACATCAAGTTTGTCCTCAAATAGTTTGTACTCGTATATGCTTCTGTACTTATTACGAATGTACTTTACTAATATTAGTTTTATTGTTAATTATGTAGAAAAAGTAAAGGAAACAAAAAACTAGTCATGAAAAATCATTAAATTTAAAATGTTTGTACAAGAAACTGTATGATACTCAATTTAAATGCCAAATTATGCCGTGAGACCAGTTCCCTTACAATATTTTACTACTTAAAATATATATTGTTAAGTGAAAACTATATCAGCAGAGATTTGAGATATAAAAAATATAAGATAAAATTATGAGTTAAAATTTCGCACTCATGTTTTGATTCATCTTATTGACTTAAATATTTTATTACATACATATGTAACCAGTGATTGCACTAATCCAATATAAATGAATTGAAGCTTGAACAAGATAGCTGATCGTAATAATTATAAAATACTTTTTAACTATGTACTTACTTACTGCAGATGTATTTAGTTTGGGTTCATTGGCTTTATTTCAAGAAACTGTTGGCTCACAGGATGTCAACCAGTATCTGATGGGGGGAAGGGATTGTTAGTAATACAGTCCACATTGCACCAGTACCCATTGCAAATAATATACCCTATCAGCTCGACCTTCCCGTGGTTTCCCTTGAAACTATCGTGCGAATTTCCAGGTGCATTCATTACGATGGGCTAACTGACCTGCTTTTTTATTCTCACCTATCACCTCTCACTGGTGCCCCGTAGTATATCGTTAGCGAAGACGGGGTTATCATTCCATTATCATCCATAAAAATACCAGTATCTGATGATGACCTAGGTCTGATTATGGAGCAAAGCGGTGGTTATAGAAACTCACATTTATTAAAGGTACACAAATTAGCTAGTTTGGAATTGTGGTTTAATCTTAACGATTTAGTCAGTAGGCAAATGGTGACCAAGACTCATAGTGATGTGTAATAAAGCTCATATCTAAAGTTTGATATTTGTACAGGAAGAGGTTAAAAGAGGGATGTGATAATAAGTTTGATGTTTTTATTTGTGTATTCATCTGTTAACATCGTTAGATTCCATAAAAGGATGGATATTAATGTGATTTTTTTATTATATTTATACATAATGATTTTAGTTATGTTTATAAAAATTTTTTCATCAAGGTTTTTTTATATTATTTTAATTTTATATTAATTATTCGGAGAGAACAAAAAAATGATTTATTTTTCTTATTATATTTTGTATATATTATGAACAAATAATATTATCATTATAATTTTAACCATAGATACATACAGATGCTAAGATTTAATAAAAGAATTGGTAAATGAGTGCTTAAGTAAAAAAACTACAGAAAACTGACATTCACTGCCCTTCTAACTTTGCGAACCACACCACCGCGAGAATTTCATTAGAATATATTAAAATGCGCATAATATTGCAGGTAGGCGTGGATGGGTAATTGGTAAGTAATAGGTCGTTGAGGTAAGGTCGGCGCAGTTTGGGGCGCTATCTTAATCGTCCAGCGTTTAAGCATATTTATGTCGCAATAAGTTATCAGAAGGCTAATTACGGCCGCGAAACCACCTGTCCGCTATCATCTGTACATAGGCCTCCGCATATACTTCCGTGCGTCTTACGCGCGGTCCCTCCCCCGTGGTGCGATTGGTTGGTGAGGGCGGTGCGCGCGCAACGGCCCTCCTCGCAGCCTGGTGTGAGACGTTGCGACTCCGAAGGAGCCGGTCGCGGCCGCGATGTGCGCCCGTGGACAGTGTCGTCGCGACCACGCCGTCACACCGCCGTTGCCGACGCACCCCACATAGTGCACGCCGTCGCTCGGACTGCACGCGACTTTATAACTTTTACTACTTATACGCGCAACCAAATATCAGACAGTTGTAAATAAAAATATTCAATTTCTTATAAAAGTTTAGCAGTAAAATTTTGACTAAGTAATACATAACTTTTGTATTTAATTAGTTTTTATTAATTACGTGATAACTATAGAATCTAAAGACCGGAGGAGTTGGTGATGTGATATGGCCAAGCGACAATTGAACGGTTGCGGAAACGCTTGGTGCGCGCGTCTGATTGTGGTCGGATGCGCTTGGGCATGCGCGCTGTTTGCTACCGCAGTTGCTGATGCTCATGCCGATGTCGACACTTCAACTGGTCTTGGAGATAACACGCTCACGAATTCAGGTATTTTTAATAAATTATCTTTTCTTTTATTCTTTTCTTCTATTCTTTTCTTCTATTTTGTATACCCAGGTATTTATATGAATTTTGAAATTAATGTTCCTCTTAATTTCGAAGATTATGTTATACACCTGTACACCATGAGCATTGGCATGAATGATATAATTTTTACAGTGGGAATAAGATATTTTAAGTAAGATAAATGCATATTAAACGTCACAGAAGAAAAAAGTTAATAATTTATAAAAAATACTATAATAATAGACATACATAATAGTTTTATGTCTACATACATTTTCATCAGAGGATCAAATAACTAATAGAGACGCGGTTAAGTAAAATACAATTTTTAAAGAGTATAAACGATGTTGAAGTAAGTTTTTGTAGTCGTCCTATTTATTCTCGATATTTTCAAGGTGAATTTAGGTTTTGCGGGTAAACAATAAACAACTGCGTTAGAAGTTTTACACTAACTTTTTAATTTGTTTATTGCTATCATATTATTGTTTTCTTTTGTCAAAAATTAATTTATTTAAGGTGTTCTGACGTATACCTTACATATGCAATTTTTATGTATTTTGTTTTTTATATTATTATTTTATACTCCAATATAATATGGTATCTAGCAATATTTGATCATAATTTTTTTTATAAAGAATTTGTTCTGGTGGTTTATTTTTTACTGTTCTAGGTAGTCTTATGTTTTTTTTAAATGCGTGCTAAGTTATATCAAGTATGTTTCGAGGAATAAAATAGTGCAATCTCTAAGTGCCACCGTATGGTTATTCAGTTCAATCATATCTATGATTTTGTTTAAATTTAATAATAGGTAATGTTTAAGAATAAATAAGTAAAGATTTTAAAAAGATTTTTGAAAAATATTTTATCATTGAATCTAAATCAAACACACGTATGACCTAAACCAAAGAGACATAAAAAATTTGATTTTTTTGTGTTGTATTCAGATGAGAAATATTCTTTTAAAAAGAATATAAAGATTTTACTTCTTGTATTGTACAGATATATAGTTATTAAACAATTTTTAGTTAATATCGATTAAAAAAGAATTAGATATAATTTCTTATTACTTAAGTAAGTAATTAAACTTTTAAAAGTCTTTTATCATAATATGTTATTTTGTTGACGGATTTTAAAAAACCGTATCATTAGATTGTCTGACAATATGTATGCGATTATCTGGTAACGCTTTAGGTTACATGATGACAGTATAAAATACATGGTGGTGGTAAACTATCAAAAATAATTTTAACGGCGATTTCTTTGAGGATTTTACTTATTTTTTTTATAGATCATGCTTGGAATTAGCGCTTGCAACACTTATAGAGTGTTCATTTTAAAAATGAATGGATGATTAATTTCAAAATGACACGTGACATCCCTAGTGCTGCAGGCATCCATAAGCTATAGTAACTGTAAAGCATACAGCTTGTCTGATGACGGACTGTATCATATATAAATATAAAAAATGTATAAGAAATAGCTGAAAGTACTTTCTGGATTTTAATATAAATAAATTGTATTATTATTTATTTAGATTCAAAAAATAAATTAATTGATCATGAATCAAGACATGTTTCTTCTAAATTAATTAAAAGTAATTTGATACAATTTTTGCTTCTTTCTGCTCTAAGTTTTTTTATCTTTTTATAATTCTCAAGATGTTATAAGAGTAGAATAAATATGCGAAGAAAAAATCAAAATGAAGCTGTACCTACTTATTTACCAAGTCATCTGATTTGCCTAGTAATGATAGTACTATTCTTCTATCTATTGCTGTTTACTATGCTGATTTATAAGACTTCATAGAACGTAAATCATGATTTGATGGATACCAAAAATTATAGATCTATATAAATTTCCAAGTATTTCAACAGAATTGAAATAGATGAAACACCGTTAACAAATCAAATCGCGCGAGGTGGATAGACTCCCCTGCCATGTTGGAATTATTAATTATTTAGAAAGTTAATGACTATGCTACTATGCTATATAAATTACTTGGTTGGTTGGTTTATAGTCTCGAGTAATAGAAGAGGGTCAACATAGAAAAGTCAGTTTCTTAAGTTGACCTGGGCAAGAATCGAAGTTGGGACCTCATATATTGGAAGAAATCTTATGTGAAGAATTATGCTACACTTAATTTTGTTTAACTTTAGACTTTATGTAATTAAGAGTATAACGCAAATTACGTTTTACGTACCGCCTCCTTACCTTTCAAGGCGCTCCAAAATCATTATGAAATTAAATAATAACTTAATATTAATTGATTAAATAATAATTGTTGTGAAACCCATCTACGTCAAATAATTATTTTTCATTTTTACATGATTTTCATAATCAAAAGAAAAAAAAATGGTTCCATAATTTTCTTGTGAGTGGCGGTGGGCGGCGTCGGCTTTGAACAACACCTACTTATTCGTGTACATAACACTCAAGAAATATATCACAGATAAAATTTGTGCTGTCTTGATTATGATTTATTTTATAGGTTTATTTTTGTTTTGTTTGAAAAACGTTAATTTACGCAGATGCCCTTAATTCATGTTACAGTATAAATAGATTACATGAATATAGCGATGTAATATATACCTATAATATACGAAAATCAGAGGATTTAGTAGTTTGCTAAAATAATAATGTAAAGTTAATGAAAAAAAAGTATAATAAATAGACTTGGATGTATTTCACATATAATCTAAGTCCCCACAGTGCACTCTAGTTTTAATCTATGGGATAGTAATACCACTAGGATACAAATATATTAGATTACTTATATACATACTTAGAAATTATTATTATTAAATAAAATATATCATCATGAAATTTAAGCAAAATAATTAGATAACAATACTTTAAAACATTAATTGAAGATAAAAAATTCTTTGAGGTCACTGCTAACTGGTAGGGCGCCTAGGAGGTTTGCTGCATTTGTACGTTGAATGGCTATGGAGATGCGGGGACCAAAGTATAGGCCAGCCTTCTAGTCACCAGAGATTTCTAGCAGCCGGCGTGATATCTCTTATCTATCTTCTTCTCATATTTAGATAATTTTAGTACATGAAATATATAAAAATACTCAAATATATCCATTATATTCGTTTGTTTTGGAAAAATATATACATTGGACTATTTTTTATAGACTATACATCATTTAATACATATATGGGAGTCATATGGCCGTGTGGTCCCGGCATACAGTAGGCTACCCCTTTCTTTTCTGTAGGTGTCGCAAGAAGCGCCTAAGGGAACTGAATGGTAGAGAGATGGGCAGTAGCGTTTCTCTTAAAATATCTCTAAAAGTCTAACTGCGGTTGTCAACCAGCCTGCTAATCGTAGTAGCTACTGGCAAAACTCTCCTTATGGGAAAGGCTTATGTTTAGCAGTGGACAATTAACGGCTGAAATGATGATGGAAGTCTACCTAACCTAAAAAAATCTAACAATAATTTGTTATTTTTGCTACATTGTACTTCTAAAATGAAGTTTATTTATTTGAATTTGTTTGAGTTGGATTCAGTTATTTTTGGTGTTAAATATAATGATAGATGTATAATAGGGGAAAGTGGGGGAATTGGGAACACTTAACTTCCAACGTCCAAAAATAATAGAAAAAAGTCTTAGATATAGCAACTTTTATTACAATATAAACTTTACTTATCTATCTACTTATCAGTTACAGAAAAACTCTCAAGAATCAACGTTTCATTAGAAATTTTAACGAAAACAAAAAACGTTGTCGTTTCTTTTTACCCGATACCCTATGGGGTAATTGAGATCATCCCGAAGGGTAAATGGGAACGGTATGGGGTAATTAGAAACGACACAATTAAATCTTTATAATAAACTATAGTTTTTTTGGTTGGCGCATATCACACACGTACCCTAGACTAGTCTCGCCAGCAGTACATTTTTCATGTGCCCAGAGTTTACAGATGACGCACATAATCCAATCCTCTGTCGGCGGAGATTCATATTTTTCGTTGCACATTATACAAAAAACTCTTCTTCGAACTTATTTTCTTGCAAAGCCTTCTTTAAATTTTTCCCTCCTTTGCCCTTGACTCTTAGATTCTTTTTTATGGTTTTAAAGTTCTTTTATAGTGTTTTATTCGGAACTTTTTCTTTTTTAGCTTTTCTCTCATTTTGTTTTTTCTGCTTTCCCTCAAGTTCAATTTTTATCGGTGAGCTGGATAAAATTTGAGAATGTCTCTTATTCTGTCGCACAGAAGTGGTTCTTGTTTTAGGTATGATAGGCACATTAATGATTTCGGTAAGAGGCACAGAAGTGGATGGAGAAGGGGTTTTACTTTGACTGAGAGTGTTATCGGATAAATTTAAACTTTGCTCAGCTGTAGTTTTATGAGCATCGCATTCTTGAATCTGACTGATGTAGGATTCATTAGATGTCATATTCTCAAAGATGTCTTTAAATTTGTCAGGATTAATAGGATAAATTTAAGCGGCTCTAAATCCACTGACAGCCTTGCTTATGTTAGCTGTTTTATTGCACGCCTTTGTAAAAAGTTCTCCAACCTCGTATTGGGTTATTCGTTTCCCAGGATTGTTAACCATGTACAACTCACATTCCTTATTGTATGCTATCTTCAGTTTCTTTGTTAAAATTGTGTTTCAGCTTTTTTAAGAATTAGCTTCAGCAAATCGAAAAGCAATTCTACGTAATGAACTTGGTGTTATTCCATAAAAAGTCTTGCAGCAATCAAGTATATATTTTTCTAGCTAGTCTTATTGTTCTCTATTAAATACAGCAGATCGACCTTTTTTTGGTGTCTTGACTTTGTTTTGTTTTAATTGTTTGAATAATGTTGATTTTGGTATTGAATATTTGGTAGCAGCTTGGCCTAATGTGAGCTTCTTACTTCTAACATCTTCAACTGCAAGGCGAAGATCTTCAATTTTGTATTTCGATTCAGTCTTTCATATATAGTTTCGAGGCATGTAAAACAATTTTTAAAGTTAAAACAT